AGAGAGAGAGAGAGAGAGAGAGAGAGAGAGAGAGAGAGAGAGACTGAATATCGGCGCGATTCGACGCGGGAAACATAACGCGATCGAACGCTTTCTCTCCCCGTGATGTAAGAAAATGATGTGGCTCTGTGAGAGGTAGCAGGGAAATGATGAAAACTGCTCTTGATTGAAAATTACGAAATCATCGATCGTCCTTTTTTTTCTTTTTTTTTTTAGACTCGAGGAATGTGCAAACGATTCCATTAAACCTCGATTTTGTAACGCGGTGGTTTAGCAATTCCGTGAACGAGTTCCCGTTCACACGGTTCGATCGTTGCTTCTCATCCGAGCGAGTGATTTTGCTTTTTGAAATTCGAGGAAAGAGGCAAAGATAATTCGATAATTGGTGTAATGCGAGATGTATCCGTCGAGATCCATTACCACCACTACCACCACCACCACCACCGTCACACCACCGGCTGCAACGAATATATCGTTCGATTTCTTGAGAAAAAAAAAAAAAAATAGGGCAGAGTGCAATCCAAGAAGCCATTAAAAGCGAAACCGCTCGTAGACAGAGCGCGCGGGGAATGCGTCTCGCGAGTTTTATAATATCCGGTGTGTGTCAGCCTAACAGGTAGGATTGTGTGACCGAACAATGTATCGAGTGTCACGAGACCGGAGAGAACCTAGCGCAAAATGATTACGTCGTTCGACGAGAAAACGAACCGAAGCGTGATATAATTACCTCAAGTTTTTTCTTTTTTCCTTTCGAAGAGTTTTTTCATTGTTTTCCAATTTTCAGGAATGAAAATGAATATCGGTCGGAATTATCAATCGTTGTAATACACGGTTTTTCACACCGATTTCCTTCCCCTCCCCCTTTTTTTTTTATTGCAATTCAATGCAACGATTAAGTATTATCTTATCAGTTCTCGTTTCGATTCTATTCGCAAGACGAGAAAATCGACACCAATATAATCGTGTAATTAAACGATGGCTGGGAATTCTTTCATGGCCGAGCGCCTCAGAAATGGATCCATCATCGTCAAGAACACGAGAGAACATTTTAATGAAGAGAGCTCGACGATACTCGTCACGGGACCGAGAGAAAGGGACGATTTTCCGTTTAAGGAGAGAGAAGAAAGCCGGTCGAGCAACGGGGGAACCTCGTAAAAAAGCGCATTTCGACCGATGTAATGGCCGAATACACGTAAACGGAAGCGGCGAGCATCCATTATTTTCGTCCAGCGTATTAATTGTTCATCAGCCTTTTCGCTCTCCAACTTTCTCTCTCTCTCTCTTTTTACTCTGAACTGCAGGAAGAACGACATTTATCGATTATAACGTGGCCCTCTCTCTTTCTTTTGGCCATCATCTCTCCTTCCGTTGTTTTCTGTTCGAAGCACGAAGAGAAGAGACGAGAATCCCGGAGGAAACAACGGTGGGGGATCGATGGATCGCTCGATCCTTTTCATTAAATATTTCGATCCAGCGTTTGTCTCGAATTTTCGACAGTGAAAAACGGTGGAAAGGAGAACGAGATACAGTTATGGTAATTTAAAAACGTCTGGAGAGCACGATGCATCATCGGGAGATATTTCGACTCGTTCGAGATTAACGGCGAGCGAGAAAAGGAAGGAGAAAATAGTTTCGAATTATCGTTCGCAATTCCGAGGGAGGATGAAAGGTCAGTCTCGGTTCGTCTGCATCACGATGATGATGATGATGATGATGATGATGATAATGACGATGATGATGATGAGAAGAAGAAAGACGAGGAGAAAGCGCTGCATCTGCCGTTCTCGTCATTCCTTTTGATTATTGGCAGAATCAGTTACGAGAGAGACTTCGGTGTCTCGGTATTTAAAATATATCGGGGATCGTCATTCGTCCCGATTCCAAAAAATTATTTAATATCATCGAAGCAATAATATGATGATATCTATTCGAAGAAAAATATCAAAATCTTCTTACCTGCGCCATTTAATTAAAAAAAAAGTTAGATCAATCGATTACTCGTCCGTCCTTTCTTTTTTTCTTTCTTCCTCCTTTTTTAGCTCGACCACGCAAAGAGAACAACCATCACGTTTACGTACATCAAGTTCAGGGCCAAAAATAGTCGTGTGCGTGACGTGGGAGACGAGAAAAGCACACGGGCCATCTTGCATCGATCCGGTTGAGGTAGGTCTCGGTCTCAAGGGAGCCAGGAGAGAGAGAGAGAGAGACTTATCCCAGTTCGGGGAGAAATTTCAAGAATAGTCCGTCCGGCCCTCACTCACGGCCTTCCTTCCCACC